AAAATGGTGGTTTAGAGATAGCTATGCCATATTTTTTTACTTGAATTTAGCTGGCTATAATGAACCCCACGTTAGAGAGTGTAAGTATAGATACTGAGAACAGAGAGCCAGCACCTCCTTTTCTCCCATCTTCCGATGGCACAACACTAGAAAGACAAGGGTGACAAAGGGAAGGCAACAAAGTGGGAAGACGCTAAGATAAAGACCATCAAGAGGAGGAAGAGGACTTGGGCCTACTGGACAATGAGACCAAGAATGGAAACAAGGGAAAGAAATGGAGGGAAAAAGAATTTTAGGGCTGGAAACAACTGTATATAGAGACTGGAATTAGACATTTATACCTTAAAAAGGTAGATTGGCTGCAGCTAACTATGTAAAAGGGTCCAGGCTTAGCAAGATAGAAATAGAGATGGAAATATTCATATATATATATATATATGAATATAATATATAGATATAATTTTACATGATCATAGTTGAGATTTTCCTGCTGGCTTAATAAAACTAACCTAGAAAACTATCTAGAAAAATAGAAGGGTACTAGGAATATCACTCAACCACTCTGAAGCTAGGTAATCTAAGAAAGGAGGCTACCTGTGACTTCAAAGTTCATTTCCCTTGTGCATGAAGATACTGTTAAACTTCCTTCCTCACCCCATCCAAGACCTGTGCCTCATTCAGTGCAAAAAATGGATGACACACCGGTCAAGAAAGATGAAGCTACGGCATACAGAACTCCTGCTTTGCTTGATGGAAGCTGGATGCATTTCAGCATAGCCATAGTACCAATGGATGGGGGACTCTCTAGGCAATGCGGTAGGAAGGTACAGGAAAAGAAGTAAGGGGGAAGGAAGGAAAGCAGTTACACGAGCCGAATGATGCCTTGTGGGTATTATCCCAACACCTGCCAAAAAGTTACAGTGCAAGATGGAGAAAAGTCATCCCATCTAGCGACTAGCTATGCTCTCCATCCTCTACATTCCCATAATCTGGAGCCAGACTTTGAAGTCTGGAGAGCACTACAGCTGACTTCAACTGCAGTTTGAGCTCTGAAGAGACACAAAGTAAAACACCACCAAAAAGCCTAAACAGGCTCTTGAGGTGCAGGAAATCAGTCTACATTTCTCAATCATCGTGCCAAAAGTGTCTGGCTGACACTTTGACGGAAACTGGTACAAGTATTAAAGCTAAATTTGTCAAAATGTAAAATGGGACAATATCTTTTCACTATAAAGGGGTGCTGTAACAGCAGTTCTCTATAATAAGACACCACTAGTCAGAATAGCAAAGAAAAGCCCAGAGGAAATTAAAAATTCTGTATTCATTACGGCATTTGGATAGGGGGCAGAAATAATACATGGACCACATACTGAACTATGGAGACTTTTAAAAAAAAAAAAAAAGAAAAAGACCTGAATCACTATCCCTTTCCTGAATAAAGCAGGGTCCTGATGCATGCTGCAGCTAGGAAATCAGACTGTCCTACGGACTAGCCAGCACGATGCCAAGCCAGGGTTTGCACAGACGATCTTAATTTTGGAATTATTAAATCTGATGCTTTAACCTTTGTACACTTCTGTCTTGTCAGATGTTAAAGAAGAAGAGGTTATGTTATTACGATCCCCCACTGCTGTTCCAGGGTAAAAAGAGAGTAGGAGAGAGAGAATTTAAGAAATATGCAAATAAGTCTAGAACAGCATACAAAGACAACGCAGGAGAGAAAAGCAAGCCTGTGGGACGAGGGACCCACAGCGCCAGCGAGCCTGAGCAGCGCAACGCACAGCATGCAGCTGCCTGGTCCAAAAGCAGTACCCTGTAGAGCTTCACTGCACCCAGCACACTTAATCTGCAACCCAAATAATCTCCCATGAATAATCGAGAGTTGACTGTGTATAGCAGAACTCTATTAACCTCACAACTCATCGCAGCAGCCCACGTCCTCGATAAACTGCTTAGCAATCAATTAACCGAAAGTGCATGGCCTCTTACAAACATCTTGAGTCTAGTAATGGGATGCTTGCCTCCACGGCCCAAGCTACACTATAGCTTCACTTCGGATCCATAAATTTTGAAGACGTGAGGGATCTGTGATCATCATCTAATCGTTCCCCTCCAGATAAGAACCTGATTCCCAACTCTTGTGGCATTTCATCTCCTGAATCAAAGCTATCGAAAGCTTTGGACGTTATCAGTAAAAATACAATTTACAAAACTTCCAACTCAAGATTATCTCATGGGCAGTAGCTCATGCAAAATAAGGTCAGCAATCACATCTACTCCTCCAGCCTTTATGATTATCTAAAATGGAAGATATGACTACATACAATTATCCTGTTAGGTCAAAGACGAGGTATACTGACCAGGCACTTAAATTAAATGTGCTGAAGCCAACGTTGCACCTCTATTGTGTGAAAAAAATAAAAGGATTTCAATTTCTACTGGTGTGAGAGAGATAAGGACGTTTCCGACCACTTAAGTCATATGGAAGTGGGAAAGGAGAACATCTCAGACTGACTCTCAAAAAGGCCACTTTGGCTTCTTAGGAATCTGGCTAGCATAGAGGAAGGATATACAAAATACATGGAGCAAACAGTCCCCCAGTTAAGGACTGAAAACCTGTCCAGCTAGCCAGCTATACAGTTGTCAGCGTTCACTGCAGAACTTGCATCATCTTCAACAGAATTTGCACAAGGAACAAAGCTTTGTTATCGCCATGCAAAAAACATCGACACAAGAAACGTGCCTTCACTTTCATTTATGCTTGACAGAAAAATTTGAGAACTCTCTTTGTCTCCACCTCAAAAAATAAATAAAACCTATAAGAGTAACGTATGAGAGACTACCTGTAAAGCAAATGTCATGTTATATCACAAGACTAAGTCTTACTCTAACTCCTACTAATATTTCCTTTTTTTGCTCCTTACTCACTCATCTAAAACGAAAAGCCAAAAACAAAGGAAATTGCAAGCATTCTCTGTGATTCTCTGGAGTAACCAATATTCTTACAAAAAATAGTTTGGCAAAGGCCTTGTGAGCTGAAGTGATTCATAATTAATTGCCAATATTTTAAAGGAAAAGTTTCCATTAAATAATATATGGAAATCGGACATTTTGAAAACCAAAGTAAGATTCTTGGGACCACCACTGACTAACAGCAGCCAGGCAAAACTACTGGCATAAAATATAAATCAGTTGTATTGACTCTCCCACTTTTTCCAAAGCAAAGTGAAAAGCTGAAGTCCAGCTGGGGAGGGAAAAAAGTCAAGATTAGGGATCTTGCACAGCTCTTTGTAAATTTAACTGCAGACCCAAGATTTCTGTTCTTTTTTGCGTAACAACAAATGTAATAAAATCCTGAACTGCCTTTATTATTAGCCTGAAATATCCTTTTGGAGCAAGTAAAAACTAGCTATCAGCAACCGTGAAGGGCAAAGCAAGTTTTTGCAAGAAAACACCTTACCAAAACTCCTCCAAAGCAAAAACCAACCAAGAGTGGCGTAAAATCGCCCATGGAAAACATCTCCCTTCTCAGATATAACTACTCCAAAATGGCAAAACCAAACCGAAACATAGAAGTCCATTTTTAACTGTGCCTAAACACGGCGCAGGTTCGCAAACGAAGCTCTGAATTTTTAATTCCCGCGCGAACCACCATCCCGCGTCACCAGTTCAGCACCAAATGCCCCTTCCTACCCCTTCCCCCGGGGCCAGGGCTCTCCCATACAGGCAGCTGGCACAAAACAACCGCGACAACGCTAGAGCTGGTGCAACCCACCGCCCCCAAAGGCAGGTCTCCCGCCGGGCAGCACGGACGGGGCCGAAGTTTGGGGCGAGCTCCGCCAGCCCCGGGGGGCGGTTACAGCTCCCGCTCGCCCTCAGGCTCCCACGGCCACCCCGGGGGCCC